GCTGTGGCCTGCCTTGCCAGTGCTGGTAGGGGTGGGGGTTTTGTTTTGCTCCTCTGGTAGTTCCTTGAATATCTGTTATGCCTATTTTTGCACCTATTCCAGTAGCTTCTCTAAATCTTTCTTAAAATGTGGTACACAGAATTGAATGCAATACTGCATTCACCTGAAATTTGGCCAGTACCTAATATAGTAGAACTCTTCCCACTATTTAGAAACTATACTGTACTTCTATTGAGGCAGCCATGCTACACTGCTGATTCGTATTAAATTTGTGATCAAGCCTATGTTTACTGCTTGATTGTGTGCCTGGTGGTAGCCTTTGCTTATCTGGGTGATGATTCTGGTGAGGTGATCTTCTGGTCTTTTGTCTCTTTTGAATAATATGTAGATGTTGTTTATCTCTATGCATCTGTTAATTGCTGCCTTGTCTGAATACCAGGTTTCCAAGAATTCTCTTGCATATTTGGATATCTGCATATACATAATCTGCATGTGTCTATAATCTCAATTTGTCACGCACAGTAATTTAGCTCTGAGAGAGGAACCTGTTAATTGTCATTAGTATTTAAAATAATACTCAGGGCAACAGTTTCTTATTGAATCATAAGTTCATTTCATGGTTTGTCAGAAGTAAATGGGAGACCACTAAGAAATCCTAAATTGTAGTCTAGAATGGGAAGTTGAAAAATCTCCAGAAGGAAATACAAAATCCATTCCCTGTTGTTGCTGGGAAAACTAAATGGATTATTCATGAAGTCACCAGGAGCAGAGGTCCAACTGAGAGAGACTTTGTTTAACTTCTACTGAAGTCATCGCGTTGTACTTGGCGCTAACACGGGCAAGATCAGGTTTAGGCTTAGGTTTAGGCTTAGGCTTAGGTTTAGGCTTGAGCTTGATCAAAACGCAGATACCGAAAAACAAGCTGCAGCACCCTCAGAACGCTTTCTCACCCCATTCGGAACTCTCCACGCACAAGCTCCACCCCTCATGGTGACGTCAGACGCGATCCCGCCTCCCTTTGGGTTTCAAGCGACTGGGAAAGGGGAGGGGGGAGGAATGAAGACTTCAGTGGGCCAGGAAGAGGGTGGCGGCGCGCGCATGCGCCGTTGGAAAACATGGCGGAGTTGGATATCGGGAAGCACTGCGGGGTGGAAGAGTGTAAACAGCTCGGTAAGAGCGTTTTGCTGGGAAGTTCAAGTTAAGAGACTCTCGACAGAAGAGTGGCCGGCCGGGAGCAGCTGGGGGAAGGCGTGGGGCTCCGACCCATATAGTATCCCGGGAGCTGGCAACTCTTACGGCGAAGCATTTTTGCCTCTGAATTGGCCGGCTGTCACCGTGGGAATTTCAGGGTCAGGCGAGTCCCACCCTTTGTTTCGTGCGCCTACCTTTCCCACGAGCGCTGTTCGAGTGTAAACCAGAGTGCCGGGGCTCTTTTCCTTTTTGTAGCCTCTGTCAATAGCCTTTGCTTGCCAGACCAACCTAACCGCCAAGGCAAGAGTGGGCGATCAAAAAGACGAGCCTCGAAGGCGGGCGGCTTTCTGTGAATGTGCCTGCCTGTTAAGTGCAGCTGAGAGGCGTTTGTGGTTATGAATGATGGTGAAAAGCAAATTTCTTTTAAAAGAAAATGTTACAGTGACCAGACATTGTATGACTTGATGTCTTTTATACTTAATGTTTTAAACATAGACTTGAGGAACAAAGCGAACTTTGCCTATCTTCAGTACACTCAGATGTGTTCATGGGTCTACCATACAAAATTCCACTTCCTAAATTTGCTTCCATCTTAATAGCTTAATTTAGGGGGTATGAAAAATCTATTTTGTCTAACTGCTGCCACTATTACTGTGATCTACTGAAAATCATCCAAAAGTTGATTAAAAGCAAAGCACTTGTGGGCCAGAGGTGTGTATGAAAAAGGAACAAGGAGAGAAAAAGTTTTATACACACATATATATTTGACATTGTAATCCTGCCTTTCTGCAAAATATGTTCCAAATTTCATTTACATTTATCGTAACATATTATT